AACATTCTCCATACTTAGAAACTCTAAGGGTGGAGATGAAGATGGAGCCGCAGGGAGAAAGACTGTGAGAAGCCATATGCCAGCTGTTTCTTAACAGCAGTTACAGTGGAGCAGTTTCAGTCCTTGTTCTAGGCACCATTTTGTCTGTGTGTATCTATATCATTATAATCCTTGGTTTTCTTGTCCATCAGTGTATCATTTGTGATGCATTTTAAGGCATTAAATGATAATATTTAGATAGTGCTTACTTTGTGCCAGGCACTGTTCTAGGCGCTTTCTATATGTTAACTCATTTAATCCCCACAACAACCTATGAGGTCGCTGCTGTTTTTCTCCCTTTGAAGAAACCAAGGCATACAGAAGGTAAAGTTACTTGTGTAAGGTCCCAAAGCTAATAAAAATCCAGTGAACGTGCACTCAGGTAGGCTGGCTTCAGAGTCTATGCTTTTAAGCATTTGCTGTACCATCTACCTCTTTTATGAAATAATATACTTTGCTTGGTTATTGAACTTTCCAACATTTACTTAAAAAAGTAACGTGGGGGGTGGTAACAATAATACGATATCTAAATTTTCTGCCTGTCCTAAATTCTTTCTCCTGCTCTGAATGGTCGGTGCATGGAACAGGGTTGGGTTGCTTGCTGATGTGTGGAGGTAATGAGATTTGGAAGACATCAATTTTCTTTCCTACTTTCTCAGAATGAACTATCACTTCCTTTGGTTGGATAGGCAGTTGCTGTTTCTAGCAATATGAATACATTGCATTTATAAAACATAGAGCTGCAAACGAGACAACACGAAAGTGGAAAAATAAGGTTGGGCAAGTGAGTGTGGGAGTGATAAATAGTCTATCTATTATTCACCTCTTCTTTCTGTACAGGAGGTACAACCCTGCTCCCTTGCAGTTGTGTCTTTTTTGGGGGGAGGGCAGGTGGGGAGGAAGAGGGTGTATCGCTTTTCAGTTGGATCAGAAGATTGATTGCAAATGTGAGGATCGGGATTAGCTATTCCTGTAACTGTGAAAGTGCATACTTCTTTAGCTCTTTACTCTTCTTCTGCTACCTACCTTGCTTACTACTTACTGGATTTGCTTACGGGTTGACCAAGGATGGCAGATACCTGGAACTGGTGCTGCTTCAATTCCTGCCTCCTGAGTCCAAGGAAGATGTCACTAATTCAATATATTTTTTTATATTCTTTACTTCTGAGCCTGGATTTTGCATCTGAATCCTAAACAGTGCTCTCAGAAACCCCTGTTAATTAGTTAGATGAATGAGGCATGAGGTAGTGTAAATTTACCATTCCTGACTAGAACTTTAGTCTGGGTCTTAGGTCTGGGTATGATAGAGAAATCAACATTGAGGGCTGAGACACTTAGGCCAACCCTTATCTAGCAGGTGAGAAAACAGGCGGAGGAAGGTAAAGCAACTTGTCTAAGGTCACCTTCCTACTTAGTAGCAGAACCGGAATTTAACAAGTTTCCTGGCTCCTACTATAGTGTTCTGGCTTAGCTGCTTCTGTGCTGCTTGTCTGAATTCACCTACCCAGATTTCTTTGAGTCTAAAGATTTTCCATCTTCAGAGAATGTCTTTGTTGGAGCTTCAGCTTGTGGTAAAGTCAATGTTTATCATACCTTCCACATTGAACCTGAGATGAGGGCCAGGTTGGGCCATGAAAGATAAATACAAAACATATTCCTAGCTTGTTGGGTCAGGACTCATTGCAGTTTATCTTGGGATGGCAGCAGTGAAGTAGGGCATGGAGGAGCCCTGCTAGAGTAGGCAGTCTGCTTGTGTCAGCAAGGAACATCCATACCCTCTCCTTGTCATATGACCTGGGGGAGCCAGTTGCTTTGGGGGATCCCAGGTGATGCAAGAGCTTCTCAGGAACCCCCATGGTGTCCTGGTGAAGGGTGCAGGCTTTGAAGTGGTTTAGACCAGGCTTCAAAACCCAGGTTCACTATTTATTTGCCAAGTGACTTTGGGCAAATTATATCTCCCTCTCGGGCTGAGTGTCTTCATCTATAAAATGGCCAGATCTCATGGGATTGTTGTGAGGATTAAATGTGATGATTCATGTAAAGTGCTTAGCACAAGGCCTGCCAGATCAAATGTTGGCTACCAGTGACATTATAGAAAATGGCAGAATAAGGAGCTCCAAGAAGTGGGTCTTCCACTGAAGCAACCATTAAGCTGTCAAAAACTGTCCATCATCTTTTTCAGAACTCTGGAATCTAATAACTTACAGCTACCAAAGCAATACTTAGTGAAAAAAAGAGGCTGTTAAAATGTTGGCATTTAAGACAATCTGTCAGGTCACTGGCTGACTGCTGAGATAACAGAAAAGAGACTTTAGTGACCAAGCACAGCAAGAAATGCAGTTTTTGTAAAAATTGTTTAGAAAAGTCACTAAACAAATGGACAACTGCAACCCTCAGCAATTAGCAATACCAACCCTGGGGTGGGAGGAATATCAGGTTTCCAGAGTTGCTACATTATAATATTCGAAATGGCTAGTCTTCAACAAAAAATTACAACTCATACAAAATAATAGGAAAGTATGGTCTATTCAAAGAAAAAACCTTGATAGAAACATCCCCAAGGCAGCTCAGTCATTGGACTTACTAGGCAAAGACTTTAAGTCAACTGTCTTAAATATGCTCAAAGAGTGAAAGGAAACCATGGACAAAGAACTGAAGGAAACTGGGAAAACTATGTCTGAGCAAACAGGGATTATCAATAAAGAGAAAGAAATTATATTTAAAAACCAAATAGAAATTTAGAAGCTGAAAAGTAAAGTAGCTGAAATAAAAAATTCACTACAGGGGTTCAACAGCAGACTGAACAAGCAGTAGAATCGCTAAACTGGAAGATAGATCAATTGAAATTATCTAATCTGAGAAGCAGAAAGAAAAATGAATGAAGAAAAATGAGCAGAGTCTCAAAGACCTGTGGGACACCATCAAGTATACCAACAGATGCATGAGAGTCCCAGAAGGGGAGAAGAGAAAGGAGCAAAAAGAATGAAGAAATGATGGCTAAAAACTTACCAAATTCGATGAAAGGCATGGATGTACACATACAAGAAACTCAACACACTCCAAGTAGGATAAACTCCAAGAGATGCACACTGAGACACATTATAATAGTGGCTACCATTTATTGAGTACTTATGACTACTCCTATTAATGCTACTGTTATTGTTACACCCTCAGTGAAGCAGGGCAAGTGTTGTTATATCACATCCTCCAGCTAGTCAATTAAGGTCAGGCTGACTCAGAGGCATTGTGGTTAAGAGGGACAGCATAGTCTTTGGAGCAGGTCTGTATTCCTGCTCTGCGTTTTACTAGCTCTGTGATTGAAGCCAGTAACGTAATTTCTCTGAGCCTCAATTTTCTTATCTTTGAAAACATAAATACATACCCAGGCAACTTTGAGGGTAGTGCATTTTTTTGAGGATTAAATGTAGGATTTCACACATGGCACATATGGAAGCACCCAACAGTGTCAGCACATGGAAGATCCTTAACTTTGTGAGGGAATTGTGAAATGAGGATTCACTGGGGCAGAGATCTTTGGTTTGCTCAAGAGCACAGAACAACATTTGGCATGGAGTAAGTAGGTGCTCCCCATACCTATTTGTTGACAAATGAACCTGAAGCAGTAGGGGGTAGCCATTATTCTAGATCAGAAAGTGTTGTCTGTATGGATCACACTGTGGTAAAATTCCTATGTTTTTTTCTGAGGAGAGAGGGTGGAAATGTTAACAAAAGCAGGGAATTTTGTAGTACAAAACCCAGGGTATTTCTCATGGTGCTTTAATATCAACAGTCATGAAGCATAAGGTAAATGATGACTAAATGGACATTCGTAGGCTTTTCCTAGTTCCATAAAGTTGCTCAGACTTTTGAGAGAACCTCTTGTTGATCCTCCCTCAGGCTGGTGTGGAATCAACCTATGGGGCAGCATCTCTGAAGAGGTTAGGTGCATGCCACTTTTCTAAGCTTAGATGGATAATCTTAGATGGGAAAATAGGTTGTTTAGTTCATTCTAGTTTTTTTTTTTTTTTTTTAATGCTAGGGAAAAAAAATCATAGCTGACCTATCTCTTTGGCAATTATTCAACTAAGCCAAACGTACATGAATAACCAGACTGTTTGCATAGGAGGCTTTCTTCAGTTACAACAGGGAAGGAAGAGGAATATCATCAAGGTGTTCTAAGGAAGAGAGGGAAGAATAGAGTCAGAACTCTGAGAAGAGGCCGGGAGTGGTGGCTCACACCTGTAATCCTAGCACTCTGGGAGGCCGAGGTGGGGGGATTGCTCGGGGTCAGGAGTTCGAAACCACTCTGAGCAAGAGCGAGACCCCGTCTCTACTATAAATAGAAAGAAATTAATTGGCCAACTAATATATATAGAAAAAATTAGCCGGACATGGTGGCGCATGCCTGTAGTCCCAGCTACTCCGGAGGCTGAGGTAGCAGGATTGCTTGAGCCCAGGAGTTTGAGGTTGCTGTGAGCTAGGCTGACACGACAGCACTCACTCTAGCCTGGGCAACAAAGTGAGACTCTGTCTCAAAACAAAACAAAACAAAAAAACTCTGAGAAGGCACACAATTTTAGGGATCAGAAAAGGATGTTGGCATCCTGGAATTTAGTATAATTATTTTTTAAAAATCTTCATTGCTTATTACTGGGAATACCGTGCTTTCTTTGGGTTTTATGTTGTATTATAAATACTATAAATACTTTGCCCATTTCCTAGTGGAAATTACTATTGGGGAAAAATGACCAGTTTGCATTTGAGGGATATGAAAATTGAGATCATTTTACCCTTAAGTCTGTCCTTGAAAACATACACATACTCACCATTCCATTCATTTTTTTTGATATCCACATAAATGAATACAAGTAGATAATATTCTCTATATTTTCACTTAATCACTCATTAAAGACATATTTGAATTTAACACAGTCAGTATTCTTGTTTGAAGTATAATTTATTTGGTATAACATAGAAAAAAATGCCTTTATAGCATAATTTTTCCTACCACTGGCTGCTCAAACATGGTACATTCCTATTCTCTTACCCTTCAAAAACCTACTGGTGTGAATAAAATGGGAATCTGCCAGTAGCCTCAGGGCTATTTTTCCTTTCTCCTTTCCTGTTGAGTCACATGAGTCTCAGAAATTACGTGGAACCTGAGTGGGTTTGGTCAGAATCTGAGATCATCTTGAAAGCAAGGAAGGATTCTACCCACAGAAACTCAGGGGCCGCAGAGGAATCATTTGGCAATAAACAAAAGTTTCAATCGACTGTGGAATTGGCTATCAACATGTTAAGCTGATAGGCAGAAATATCGGTCGCTATACTCAGGCCAGGTCTAAATATTTACAGAAAGCATAATGCGTGTCCTGAAAGATCCGGTTGAACATCTGGGTCACCCCAGCCCACCAGTGAGTGAACGAACCCCTGGTCTCTGTGCTCGTCTGAAGCAGTGGCAGTTGAGTTGCTCGTTTGCGAATGTAGAACCATCATTCACACACATTTCCAAGCACCGGCTTAGAACTGGAGGTGGAAACAATTGTTTCCCTAGTTTTCTTTTAGAAGAAAAGTTTGCCGATGAGAAAAGCGAGCAGGATAGAAATGGTATCTGTGATAGGGCTGTTGACAGCTCTGTGGGCCAAGCTTCTGGTGGTGGTTGTGGTTGAGTGTGTGGTCGACTTGCTTGTGGAAACACTGGAGGTCACAGTTTTAGCAATCTTGGAGGTCAAGGTTGTGGTTGTCACTGGAAAATAACCAATGGCATTAGAATTTCTGCTGGGTGGTAGGGTGGGCACTCAGAAAGGGGGCTAATCTGATGGGATCCGGGAGCCAGATTCATGAACAAAACTCACTAAATACTTCTCAAGTGCCAAGAGTGTGCAGGGGAGGGGGAATGCTAGAGGGTACAGGTGTTAAATAACAAAAATAAAGGAGAAACACTCTCTGCCCTTACAGTCGGCACAGTCTTACGAGGTGAGGGGGAGACTTACTGAATTTATGCAACTGCTGAATTTGTTGTTAGAGTGGGTAGTCTTCCCTCAAATGTCTTTATGTCCTTAATATTATATTAGGTTAATCAGTGCAAATAGGATTCAGAATGGCACACTTTTATTTTCTTCTTGCTAATTTCAAGGGCTTGTAAGAACTAGATACTATCCAGACCCAAGGACTGCTATCCCTTCTTTAAAGGTAGTGGAAATGGCTGGGCTCGGTGACTCACGCCTGTAATCCCAGTGCTCTGGGAGGCTGAGGCAGGCGGATCGCTCAAAGGTCAGGAGTTCGAAACCAGCCTGAGCAAGAGTGAGACCCCTGTCTCTACTATAAATAGAAAGAAATTAATTGGCCAACTAATATATATAGAAAAAATTAGCCAGGTATGGTGGCGCATGCCTGTAGTCCCAGCTACTCGGGAGGCTGAGGCAGTAGCATTGCTTGAGCCCAGGAGATTGAGGTTGCTGTGAGCTAGGCTGACGCCATGGCACTCACTCTCACCTGGGCAACAAAGTGAGACTCTGTCTCAAAAAAACCCACAAAAACCCTGACTCTTTCTGTGGTTTCTAAGGCACTGGTTATTTTTACATGCAGGGTTTGGATCACATGTTGGTTCCCTGAGGTTATCTTGCAGAGAAAGCCAGGCCTGTAGTCCAGGGGGCTTGTCTGATCCTGGACAAACTGGAGCTTGGCAGAGATAACTCCAAGGGTCTGAGTGGACCCTAGAGGAGTGTATAAGGAAGAGGAAGAAGGGAAACATCCAGTGATTTACTTAGGCCTATGTAGTCCTCGGTCTGCCTGGAGGGTGTCTTCCAGTTCAGTGGCATTGTCTTCTCTCATTAAGCATTTCCCCAGGATGGATGCCTCTCTGGCATCCCACCGAGCCAGAAAGTTGGCACACAACCGCTTTCTTTCTTTTTTTTTCAACAGAGTCTCACTCTGTTGCCCAGGCTAGAGTGCCGTGGCGTCAGCCTCGCTCACAGCAACCTAAACTCCTGGACTCAAGCGATCCTTCTGCCTCAGCCTCCCGAGTAGCTGGGACTACAGGCATGCGCCACCATGCCCGGCTAATTTTTTCTCTATATATTTTTAGTTGTCCAGCTAATTTCTTTTTATTTTGTTAGTAGAGATAGGATCTCGCTCTTGCTTAGGCTGGTCTCAAACTCCTGAGCTCAAACGATCTACCCGCTTGGCCTCCCAGAGTGCTAAAATTACAGGCATAGGCCACCGCACCTGGCCCGCTTTCTTTTTTAAACTGGATTTTATTAGCCTGGAGCTAAGGGGTCCTTACTAGAAACTACTTTTTTTTTTCTCTTAGCATTTACATAATTACTCATCTCAAAAATGTCCTTGAGGAAGAAAATAACATCTCAGTCTTTTACAGAGGGGAAGCCACCAAGGAAACAGTTAACTTTCATATAATAGTTTCATTAGGCATAATCACTTTAAAATTTGTTGTTGAAAATAATTCTTCTGGCCGGGCGTGGTGGCTCATGCCTGTAATCCTAGCACTCTGGGAGGCTGAGGCGGGTGGATTGCTCAAGGTCAGGAGTTTGAAACCAGCCTGAGCAAGAGCAAGACCCCATGTCTACTAAAAACAGAAAGAAATTAATTGGCCAACTAAAAAAGAAAAAATTTAGCTGGCATGGTGGCACATGCCTGTAGTCCCAGCTACTAGGCCGGGCGCTGTGGCTCACGCCTGTAATCCTAGCTCTTGGGAGGCCGAGGCGGGCGGATTGCTCAAGGTCAGGAGTTCAAAACCAGCTACTCGGGAGGCTGAGGCAGTAGGATTACTTGAGCCCGGGAGTTTGGGGTTGCTGTGAGCTAGGCTGACGCCATGGCACTCTAGCCCGGGCAACAGAGTGAGACTCTGTCTCAAAAAAAGAAAAAGAAAATAATTCTTCCTTTTGAACACATTTTGTAGTTTATGACTGGCAAGAAAATGGACACGATAGTAGGTGTTTTTCAGTGTTTGGGGGCTCATGATGAAGACCTGTTTTGGGGCACTGGGAAAGACTAATGTTTCTTGTTCTTGGTTGAATCTTGTATTTAAAAACTTCATTGAAAACAGATTATTTTTATAGTTTTGATATAAGTCCAAGAAAAGTGGGAAAACAGTATAAGATATGGACTAGGAGGCCTTATTTACTTTCTGTGTGGCCTTAGGCAAGTTACCTATTTTTCTGAACTTCATTTCTTGAATTTGTTATGGCTCCTTAGAGGGAGGTAAGAGAAAAGGAAGGGGGCAGAGATGGAGAAGGAGGGCAGGGGAGCCTCAGGAAAGGGTGAGGTTTGAGGCTACAGACTGTGAAAAACCAGTGGAAATCCCTGGTGGTAGTGGTGGTGGCCAAAAGGCACTTTAACCCTTTGCACTCGGATGTCGAGTGTGACTCGACACGGTTAGCATCGGTAGCAGCTCACACCATGAAAAATTATAGAGATTAAAATTACTCTTTGAATCTATCAATAATTTGAAACATAAAAAAATCCAAATAAATAAGTTTGTATGAAAAGAAACTCCAGTATTTATTATTCTGGGGTATTTAAAAAATTAAATCCCTAGTAGAATAAAGGAATCGAGAAAAAAGCAAGCGAGTGCAAAGGGTTAAAAACCAAGGAACGGGCTGGGTGCGGTGGCTCATGCCTGTAATCCTAGCACTCAGGGAGGCCTAGGCAGGCGGATTGTTTGAGCTCAGGAGTTTGATATCAGCCTGAGCAAGAGCAAGACCCCATCTCTACTAAAAATAGAAAGAAATTAGCTAAACAACTAAAAATGTATGGAAAAAATTAGCTGGGCATGGTGGCACATGCCTGTAGTCCCAGGCTGAGGCAGCAGGATTGCTTGAGCCCAGGAATTTGAGGTTGCTGTGAGCTAGGCTGACACCACGGCACTCTAGTCCGGGCAACAGAGTGAGACTCTGTCCCAAAATCAAAACCAAACAAAAAATACGAAGGAACGAAGGAAATTATTGAGATTTCTATGATATCAACCTTCTTTGTGCAACTCCCCACCCCCACCCTAATTTCCTTTAAAACTCTTTGGTTAAAGTCTACTATACCCGTGAAGGCCTTGTGTGAATGGGAATTCTTTGTGGAAACTGAGGAAGATGTTACTTTTCCTATCAGTGTCTACGTGGTATTGTGGAGAAACAGCTCCTGTGGAAGCAGGAATTTGGAGCCACATGTGACTGTGGGAACATAAGGCCCCTGGGAATTTGCAGAAATCTTGGGGAGGGCTATGGTTTCCACAGGGCATGGGGTAAGGAGGTGGGTAAATCTTAGGTAGGTAGCTAGGTGCTGGGAGACTCAAATGATATCTGGGTAACATGTGATAAGACTCTCTTTTCTAGGGCGTCACTTTCCAGTCTGATCGAATGCATTGCCAGGTATGCAGATGGGCTGCAGAGGAACTCACCTTTGCTGTTCAGTTTCAGAGAAGACAGCATGGCCCTGTTGTGCGGATAGACAGTGAAGGCTCTGTGGAGGGCAAATCAATGAGAGAGAATGGTGAGAACCTCACGTGGAATTCACAAGTTCAGCTCACATTTCTGACTTCCTGGAGGATCCCAACCTGTTAATTCCTTTTGTGCTCACTTTCTCTACAGCACAATTAGTAGATCATTAAATATTGGTCTGCTTTGTATTGCCTTGATTAAGATCCTCCATGACCTTAACCTTCAGATGACCTCTCCCATTACCCTACCCCTGCCAACTTCACCACTGTGAACTCCCACAGGCTGGTATACACCTTAGGTCTTTGTTCAAGCCAGTCCCTCTGCCAATAAAACCTGTCCGTGGTCACATCTGCCTGTAAACTCAATGGCAACCTTCTCTATAAAGTTGTTTTTCCCTGTTGTCATTAACCCAGACAGATTTCCATCAGGGAGCTGTGACCACCTACTGAATCGACTTGTTATGAGCCTCTCCCCCCATGGGAGGACCAACTTCTTGAGGGCTGGTTCTGTTGTCAACAATGCCTGGCACATAGTAGGTGCTTAATGTTGGTTAAATGACCTGTACAGCTTGGTCTGTTGTTACTAGATCAATGGATCCGTTATTATACCAGTCCCTTGTTCATACGTGCAACAAATAATTTATGAAAGGACACTACCTGTCAGTCATTGCGCTAGGTGCTGAGGGGGCAGTAGCTGAGCAAGACATGCCTGTTTTTCACCCTTGTGGCACTTACAGTTTCTTCAGGGGGCCAGATTTTAAATGAATGATCAATTAACGAGTTAAGTAATTGATCACAGTTGTGATAAATGCTCTGATGAAGTAGAGGAGATTATGAGCCTGTGTAACAGGGAGCCCTTACTTGATCTGGGAGTTCAGGGAATGCTTTCTCAAGGAAGTGGTGTTTAAGCTCAGTAATTATTTCTGTGTAGGCCTTGCCTCCCTAACCTCGTTGTAAAGTCTTGTGGGCAGGGACCTCTTCACCGTCCCTTTTGTGCCCTACCCAGCACAGTACCCATCATGGTGGAGTTCCCTGCTTTCTGTGTCTCCCAGAATGTGTGGGGCTCCCCTCCCCTTGAGTTAGCCTTGCTGACCAAGGCCATATGTGCCCATGTGAACAAGCAGAGAGGCCAGCGTGTTGTAGCAGGTGCGTGTGTGGGGAGGGGTCTGGAGGCCACATTGTCAGTGGAGTTGTGCTGTTTGTCTTGCAGGTTGTCGCTGTTTTGTCTGTTATCTGTTGTTGCATGGGGTGTGGAGGCTTTAATAAGGTGAGATGAAAAGGAAGTCCTATCCCTAGTAGCCCATGGCTGGCTTCTAAGCAACTGCTGTCACAGTGAGGCTGGACTGTGGCAGCTCCCTTTAGATTCTCCTCTTGCGGCTCACTCTGGGGGCGTAATAGTACCTCCTGCAAAGCCAGAGTGGGGCAGGAGGGGGAAGAACGGGCTGACAGCATCATCACCATCATCATCAGCTTCCGCAAAGACTTGGCTGTTCACAGTGGTCACGGCCTGATGGTCAGACCCGCCCGTTCAGTACAAAATGGCAGTCTGAAAGCATAAGTACCTCCCAACATTTGGTTCCCAAAGTAAACCCAGCAACAAATCCCCAACTGAGAAAGTGAACACAAAAGGAATTAAGAGGTTGGGATCCTACAGGAAGTCAGAAATGACGGAGAGGGAGGAGGGAGAGAGGAAGAAAAGAAGGGAGGAGGGAGAGAGGAAGGAAAGAAGGAAGGAGGGAAGGAGGGAGAGAGGGAGGGAGGAGGGAAGGGGAGGTATCTGCATTAAATTTTTGCAGCGTTCCAGGCTCTGTTTCCCTAGTGGGGGAGGCAGAGAGACTGTGGAAGGAGGAGATGGACAAGAGACTCATCATTTCACTCCTGGGAAACGATGGAGCAGGCTGTAGAGAAGATATGAGATGTGGGATAAATGGGAGAAAAAAATCAGAGAATTGGGGGGAGAAATATTTCTGACAACCCTCCCACCCTTGCCTCCTCTAATTAAGCTCAGGTTAGTGACCTAAGGTAAGATTTATAGTTTTTTTTTTTGAGACAGAGTCTCGCTTTGTTGCCCAGGCTAGAATGAGTGCCATGGCATCAGCCTAGCTCACAGCAACCTCAAACTCCTGGGCTCAAGCGATCCTTCTGCCTCAGCCTCCCAAGTGGCTGGGACTACAGGCATGCGCCACCATGCCCGGCTAATTTTTTCTATATATATTATTTGGCCAATTAATTTCTTTCTATTTATAGTAGAGACGGGGTCTCACTCTTGCTCAGGCTGGTTTCGAACTCCTGACCTTGAGCAATCCGCCCGCCTCGGCCTCCCAGAGAGCTAGGATTACAGGCGTGAGCCACCACGCCCGGCCAGATTTATAGTTTTATTAACTGATTTTGTGTGTGTGTGTGTTGAGATAAATAGTGTCTTTCTTTTGACTGACTTTTGTTTTTAGGGAGGAGAAAGGCTTTAAGTTGAATTTTCTGGTTTCTTAGGAACTGCTTCAGAGTTCTAGCGACACTATGTCAAAGGTCCTTGCTTATTAGCACATGCATGGAAACTAATCGTGGGCTCCCTAATTCTTTCCTCAGATCAGAAAAGCACCACAGACAGCCTTATTGGCTGTTTATAGTTAAAGTATAATCTGAGCTCCCAGGTGGCCTCACCTCAGAATCCGTGTGTTAATTTTGTGTGACACTAGGGAGCTAGTTTTATTACACGGTCATCGCACTTTCGGTTAGCTAGTTATTTCCAAAATGAATCTATGCTTTACAAGATTATTCTCCAGTCTGAATATGGAGAATTTGCAACAAAAAGGGTTGCTCAGTTATTTCTGTGTGTGTTGCGCATGACTGGTATGTGTGTGTGGCGTGCAGTGTGTGATGTATGTATGCTGTGTGTGCAGTGTGTGTGGTGTTGTGTGTGTGGTGTGTGGTGTGTGGTTTTTGTGTGTGCAATCTCCTATAGATGAATGGTATGGCTGAGAACATGGTGAGGCAGAAACGAAGTGCACCTGCTGAATTCTCCATGTCACACCTGGATACTATTTTCAGACCTCCAAGGTCACTGTCAAACTGCATAAACCCAACGTGACATTTTATTTATTTATTTATTTATTTTGAGACAGAGTCTCGCTTTGTTGCCCAGGCTAGACAGCAACCTCAAACTCCTGGGCTCAAGCAATCCTCCTGCCTCAGCCTCCTGAGTAGCTGGGACTACAGGCATGTGCGACCATGCCTGGCTAATTTTTTGTATATATATTAGTTGGCCAATTAATTTGTTTCTATTTATAGTAGAGACGGGGTCTCGCTCTTGCTCAGGGTGGTTTCGAACTCCTGACCTTGAGCAATCCGCCCGCCTCGGCCTCCCAGAGTGCTAGGATTACAGGCGTGAGCCACCGCGCCCGGCCTCCAACGTGACATTTTAAAAGCCCAAAGAGGCCGGGCTTTGGGAGGCCGAGGCGGGCGGATTGCTCAAGGTCAGGAGTTCGAAACCAGCCTGAGCGAGACCCCGTCTCTACCAAAAATAGAAAGAAATTAATTGACCAACTAAAAATATATATATACAAAAAATTAGCCGGGCATGGTGGCGCATGCCTGTAGTCCCAGCTACTCGGGAGGCTGAGGCAGGAGGATCGCTGAGCCCCGGAGATTGAGGTTGCTGTGAGCTAGGCTGACGCCACGGCACTCACTCTAGCCTGGGCAACAGAGTGAGACTCTGTCTCAAAAAAATAAAAAATAAAAAAAAATAAAAGCCCAAAGAGAAGTAAGATAGGTTCTTACTGTAGTTCGACTTCAGTTATGTTCTCAGAATTAGGAGCCACCCAATGTGCCTGGACGAGCATGTTTTGTAAATTTTTCACGAGATACAGGGAGCCGCCGTTGCATGGCTCGTCTGCTCCTTGCCAGGAGCCCACGGTGCTGTTGTTCTTGTCCACCGCTCGCAGGATCACGGAGATGACGCCGTTGCTCACCGGAACCCAGACTAGGAGGAAAGGAAGAGGGGACAATCAGCCACCTGTGCAGCACGAGCCTCGCTCTCACGGGATGAGAGGAGTGGGACCGAGATGAAGTGCGAATAAAGAGAATGACAAAGAGCGCGTATCTAGAGGACGGTCCCATTGCCGTAAAAGAAGTTGAAAGTCTGGAAGGAAACACGTCAAGATATTAACTGTGGTGATTTCTTGGTAGTGGGGTTACAGATGATTTTTACTTTGTTTCTGGTGCTTTTTTTGTGTGTGTTTTCCAAACGTCTACAGTAAAAGGGGGAGAAAAGAAAACCTCTCCTCTGGCTCTGGTTTTGCTACATGTTGGGGTGAGGTCCTGGGAGTGAATCTCTTTCCCTGTCTTCAGATGAGGGGGAAAGACTGCTGCCTCTTCTCCAGGGGTTGGGGCGGCACGTGTGGGGACAGGTTGATGCCTGTGAAAGGTCACCTGTGGCCCCAGCAATGCTGATCCTCTCCGTGTGTGTTGGGGGTGTGGGGAGGGGTGCCTGTGAGCCACGGGACCGATCCTGGTGCCTGTCGAGGAGCCCCCTAGGGTTCTGCTCCACTCAGCCACGGGCCCCATCCTGGCAGGCACTCGTTAATTTCAGCCTTCTGAGGCGTAATGGGCAGGGTATTTAAAGAGAATATTTCAGTCTTTCCATTTCTGCCCTCAGAAGATCCCTTGTGAGTGAATTCCCCAATGCTAGGGTGGTGTTCTCTCCAGGGCCTTCTCAGCCACCCGAAATTGCTTCAAGCCTTCTTCACAAAGCAAAGAAAATTGATCAGGTGCTACGAAAAGGGTCAGATGGTCCTGGATCTGAATTCTGATCCTAACGCTTAGGAGCAGGTCATTGCAACTCTGAGCTCCGGTTTCCTTAGTGTTCACCACTCACTCCACAAATATTTCTTGAATGCCCACGTTGCCACCTGGCCTGGTTCTAGGTCTGGGGATAATGACGTTATCCCTCGTTACCTGAGATCACAATGCCTATTTTGAAAGATTCCCGGAAGGATTACAGAGAAGAATGTGAAGACTCTAATATACGGTGGGTACTAGCCAAATTGCAGCTGTTATTCTATGACTTCTAGCACACTGCCTTTCTCCGTTCTAATTGTTAGTTGTGCCAGTCAGGGCTGGCTGACACAGACCAACAGGCCCTGGCTTGCTCAGTGAGCACCTGACGTCTGTCCTAGATCTGTGGGTCAGGTGTGGTGGAAGGTGAAGAATGGTGGCATCATCAGACAGCCATCAAGTCTGTCAGCTCTGCATGGATGTGCCCTTGCTCTGTCTCCTTTCGTCTACTTTCCCCTTCCACTCTGATGTAAGTCCTTCTTTCTTCCCTCCTGCCACCTGCATTATCGGGTTTCTGGTTAGGCTCTTCTCCCCTTGGGGTGCCTTGCAACGTGCCATGGCCAGACCAGACTTCCCCCCACAACACACCCATCAGAGCACACTCCTGGCCAGACCTGCAAAGCACCCTTCCTCCCAGAGCATCTTAACATTTCTGCTTTTCTATTTCTGCCTCTGGTCTGTTGATGACACTCCCAGCATGTGGCTTTTAGGACCTGACAAACCAAGCCTCACCCTGCTGTTTGTATTCTGAATCCAGGGGCAGCCGGGCTTCCCCCTGTTGTGCAAATGTACCTACCTCTGGTCTGGAATCCTTCCCTCCCTCTCGTCATGTGTATCATCCCTACTTCCGCCCCAAGATCCTCTTTATCTCCCACCTCTGGATGAATTTAGCCCTCTTGTCCTCTCATTCCCGAAACACTGATGGTTTTTACTGCAGAGTTGATCACTTAATTACATTCTGACCTGTGCTATGCTCTGTGGTTTCATCTGTGTCAGTATTTGGCCAGCCCAGTGTCGAGCACTAAATAACTACTCAGGTCGATTCAAAAAGTCATGCCTCTGATGTTGTATGCTGCCCTTAAAGCTGAAAGTTCAGGAAGCAAGGCAGGCAAATTACGTCCCTGTTGCCCAGAGAAGTAAAAAAAGGAAATGGAGGCAGATGCTTGCCCAGCACAGTCTTGATGTAAATGTCACTATACTACGGGTTTCTTTCACTGATACCAAAAAGCCCCAGGCAACCGCTTCTAAGATATTGCTTGAGCTGTGCTTGTCTCCTGGGACCTGCCAAGCCATTTATACATGGTTTACCAATGTTGACATAATCCTAAAGTTTAAAAGAATTTGCAAACCAAGATGAAGAAAAGCTGTTGCTTGGGTGGGTATGTACTCAGGGCTCCCAGAAGTCCTGAGTTCTGGCAAGGACACTCTGCAAGACAGTCGTGGAGCCTGCTATGTAACTGTAGGCGTGGATCTGGCACTTTCCAGCTCCATGGGTGTGGGATTTTTTGAAACAGTCTTGCTTTGTTGCCCAGGCTAGAGTGAGTGCCGTGGCGTCAACCTAGCTCACAGCAACCTCAAACTCCTGGGCTCAAGCGATCCTGCTGCCTCAGCCTCCTGAGTAACTGGGACTCCAGGCATGGGCCACCATGCCTGGCTAATTTTTTTTTTCTATATATATTAGCTGGCCAATTAATTTCTTTCTATTTATAGTAGAGATGGGGTCTCGATCTTGCTCAGGCTGGTTTTGAACTCCCGACCTTGAGCCATCCACCAGCCTCGGCCTCCCAGAGTGCTAGGATTACAGGCGTGAGCCACTGTGCCTGGCCTGGGCATAGGATTTTTGACCCTCAACTTACAACATGCATATAGTAAGTCATTTTGTCCCAGAGCTTTCGCAGCACATTTCTGTACTAAGATGGAATCTAATGAAGTTTGAAGGTGCATGGCATGCGCAGGCATTCAAGGACCCTTAGTTCTTTTCCTCCTTCCCCTTTCCCTGGCTCCACCTAACACCTCTGTAACTGCTGAGATTGCCCCTCCTTTTCCTAGCTCTGCACTGTCAGAAGTCCCCCTTGTCTTCTCCTCCAGCTTCCTGACATGATTGGTTTCTCCAAGACCAGACGAGCTCAGGCACATTCAGGGTGGAGTGGCTGTAGGCTGATTCCTCTTTCTTCCATTGCAATAGCAAAATTTCTCACCTCAAGACACGTAGTCTTGCCTCAGGGGCTTGTAATCTCTTTTGTCTCTGACTCTACCAGGCCCTTCCCCAGGTCACACAGATGTCTACTGGGTGCTCATCTTGAATTACAAGACTATCCTCCCTGCCCTGTCAAGACAATATCCACGGGCTGAGGCAGTGGGGCATAGTTAGCCCTGTCACAACTGAAGCACTTGGTGGCAACCTCCAAAAAAAATCAGGACAAAAGACAAGCCTGGATGAGTGTGTGAAGTCGTGCGCCGTGGCTGTCTACCTGCCGAAGTCTGGAATCTAGACCGCAAGCGTGGATATCACCATGCCGGTCTCTGCAAGATTTGGTTAGACTTTGAAGAGAGGCAGGTTAACACAGTTGATGGGAAGGAAGGCTCTGAAGCTGGGCAGTCTGTCTGGACGAAGCTGGACACATCTTGGCTGTGTTATTTAGATTCAAGTATAGCTACGTTGCTTATTAGTGACCTTATGCGTATTTTTAACTTCTTTATGCCTCAGTTCTCATCTGTAAAATGGGGATGATAATTGCATCTACCCCTAAAACATATCCAGCACATAGAAGCGTCAGCTCTCCTTACTATAATGGAGAAGGGTCTCCATGTAGTGTAGGGTCTCTGAAGCTAGAATGCTGGTTCACCTCCCAGCTCCTCTATTTAAGTAGCCCTGTGACCTGAGTAAATCACTTAGCATCTCTGCCTCTGTTTTCTCATTTGCAAAATGGGAATGATAATGGTAAGAACAGGTCATTATTACATGTGAAGCACCATATTTAATGTTGTTATTATGAAACTCATTGAAAAGCATATTCTTTGTCTTGTAGATTTGGCTGATAAAAAAAGGATATTTATAAAAATACTTACTAGACACCTCCAAGAAAAGTACTGGGTTAAGAATAAAGAGACTTAAGATTCGAGAGCTGGTTCTGCCACTTACTAACTGGGAAACCCTGAAAAGGTCATTTGACTTCTCTTGGCTTCAGGCTCCTCATACATAAAGTGGGATAGTAATACTGTCCCTGGGTGGCTCACTAGATTTCCCACCCAGGCAGGGACTAAATGCAAATAATACACCCCTGGAGCTGTGCAGTATATGAGCATCCACAGTGGCACTGTTCTATCGAACAGATTTGAAAAGACTACATACTGTGGTGCTTTGGCCGAGGCTCAGTTAATCTGGGTGTCAGGACTTTGTGATTCCTATGGCTCAGGTTCACAGGGGACATGCAGAAACAGTCCCCCTGCCCCAATCTACTCTCTCACATAGTCTTATTCATTTTCTTTTTTTTTTGCATCTGTTTTAAAAAACATGTTTTGTGTAATCGAGCATAGGGATAAAGGGGTATGTTCTGAAATTCTGGTTAACCCGTCTCAGAGAACAAGGGACAGCAGAGAGAATGGTGGCTTCTACTCACCTGTGTAGACTGTGCTCCTTTCGTAGGTGTCTGAATTGACCCTGATGCCTGGGCTGGTGGTGGTGAAGATCTCATCAAAGACCATACAGTTGTCACTGTAATTTGCAGAGGTGGCTGCGGAAAGCTGCAGTCCAAGGCACAGAAGCAGCCACAGTGGCAGCAGCATGGAATGGAGGCCTGCCATGGTCCGGATCTGTTTGGAAAGTGCTGAGCCTGGAACTGGGTAGGACTGATAACTCACCTGTTTATATGCTGAGCTTCTGGGTGAGGTCATCCATGCAAATCTTCCACCCCTCCTGAAAATATACTGGCTTCCGAAATTTGGCCCAAGGTATCACGGGGAATGAATCACCAGTTGCCATTACCTGTCACCTGTCATCTTTTACCAATTCCAGTTTTGCTCAAGAAGGGGAATGTACTCATTATGGTTTTATTTTGCGTCTCAGCAACTGTTATTCAGAAGGGGTAAATACCAGCAAAATGGAATTCAGAGTTGTGTAATCATCATATGCCTCGTCCGTCTAGAAAGCACTGTTCTTCTCCCTGCAGGGAACTCAGGTATAAGACCATCTTTTCTTGGAATATTACATATCTTCTGTTATCCCTCCTTAATCAAATAAGTCTCCAATCCCCAGTTCACTTCATGACTAGCACAGAACTAGAAAAGCTGTGCTGCTGGATTTATATTTATTTCTTTGGAAAGAAACAGCTTAGGTTTACCTTGATCCTGACACTTTCCTCCACAGCACCATAGAACAAGGAAACTACTAAAAAGAAATAATCAGAAAATATGTTTTTTCATATTCTCCTCTCTGAATTTTATGATTTACTCACTGAAAGAGAAAAGGAAAGAAGTATGCCACCTTGTGAATAGAAAGAAAACAGAACAGTGTAGAATAGAATCAAGGTAATATTTGTAAATGTTCTTTTAAGAGAAGCACTTAAAGAATGGTGGAGTAAAGACCTCTTAAAAATCTACTCCTTTGTAAAAGTAATGAAAACACTAGCAAAATGGTGAAAATCAGGCCGGGCGAGGTGGCTCACGCCTGTAATCCTAGCACTTTGGGAGGCCGAGGCGAGAGGATCCCTCAAGGTCAGGAGTTCGAAACTAGCCTGAGCAAGAGCAATACCCTGTCTCTACTAAAAAAAATAGAAATAAATTAATTCTATATAGAAAAAAATTAGCTGGGCATGGTGGCGCATGCCTGTAGTCCCAGCTACTCGGGAGGCTGAGGCAGGCGGATCACCTGAGCCCAGGAGTTTGAGGTTGCTGTGAGCTAGGCTGATGCCATGGCACTCTAGCCTGGGCAACAGAGTGAGACTCTATCTCAAAAAAAAAAAAAAAAAAAATGGTGAAAATCAACCTTTTCAGGCTGGGCATGGTGGCTCATGCCTGTATTCCCAACACTTTGAGAGGCTGAGGCAGGAGGATCATTTGAGCCCAGAAGTTTGAGACCAGCCTGGCGAACATAACAAGACCCTGTCTCTACAAAAAATAAAGAAAATTAGCTGGGTGTGGTGTTGCATGCCTATAGTCCCAACTACCCAGGAGGCTGAGACAAGAGGATTGCTTGAGCCCAGGATTTCAGGGTTGCAGTGAGCCATGACCATGCCATTGTATTCCAGCTTAGGTGACAAAGCAAGACCGTATCTCAAAAAAAAAAAAAAAAAAAAAAAAAGAACTTTTTCAGAGCTTTGGATTAACCAAATGCTTCCAACAATCTGGAGCATTTATTTAAGAAAAATGGTTTTGAATATTATCATGAACAGTGAGCACTATTGCATTTTAAATTGCCCTAGTCTTACCCCATGGTAGCCTTGGAAACCAACAACTTTACAACTATAGTTCACTGTGAAGATCAGCAAACTGGCAGCCAATGGAAGGAACAGAATGGATTTGGAGCTTTCCAAAAGCCTCATCCTTGAGAACGTCTCATGTAACTGTTTGGAAGTTGCCCTGTAAATCAGTATTGTCAGGGCTTTTCTTTATTTGACCTGACTCAGAACTTTTTCTGTGCAAATGGCCATATGCCAGCCGTGTTTGTCAAAAATAATCAGTGGCCTATTGACTATAGTCGACGCTCGTACCGAAGTGGTTAAACAGAGTCCGTTCCATTCATTTCTGCAGTGTGAGCTCAGCCCAAGAGGGCCTGTGTAAAGACACTGGCATGCCCCCTAGGGAGGAGGGGGTGTCTAATGGCTATAGGGACAGCTGTTGACAAACAAAGTTGTTCTTGATTCTAGCTGAAAGGACTTGATTTTTCTTGAGGAAAACTGTTTAAACAAAATACCACATTTGGGTGGGCTTCCGTCTTCTCCTCCACCCTCTTCTCTGGAATTCTGGACTCCAGTTCCTGGAAATTTATACTTTTAAAGAGCGCCCATAGGTGATTTATTTATTATTTTTTTGAGGACAGAGTCTCCACTGTGTTGCCCGGGCTAGAGATGCCATGCGCAGCCTAGCTCACAGCAACTCTCAGACTCCTGGGCTCAAGTGATCCTCCTGCTTCAGCCTCCGAGTAGCTGGGACTACAGGCATACACCACCATGCCTGGCTAATTTTTTTCTATATATTTTTTGTTGACCAATTAATTTCTTTCTGTTTTTATTTTATTTATTGTTATATTTATTTTGAGACAGGAGTCTCACTTTGTTGCCAGGCTAGAGTGAGTGCCGTGGCGTCAGCCTAGCTCACAGCAACCTCAAACTCCTGGGCTCAAGCGATCCTCCTGCCTCAGCCTCTTGAGTAGCTGGGACTACAGGCACGCGCCACCATGCCCAGCTAATTTTTTCTATATATGTTAGTTGGCCAATTAATTTCTTTCTATTTATAGTAGAGATGAGGTCTCGCTCTTGCTCAGGCTGGCCTCCCAGAGAGCTAGGATTACAGGTGTGAGCCACCGCACCTGGCCTCTTTCTATTTTTAGTAGAGACGGGGTCTTGCTCTTGCTCTGGCTGCTTTCAAACTCCTGACCTTGAGCAATCCTCCCACCTCGGCCTCCCAGAGAGCTAGGATTACAGATGTGAGCCACCGCGCCTGCAGGGCCCCCATACGTGATTTTAGAACAGTTCTTTTAAAACGTTAATGTGTGTTCAAGTGCGTGGAGGCATCTTGCTAATACGCAGTTTCTGATCCAGTAGCTCTGGTGTGGGGCCTCATTTTTAACAGGTTCCCTCCCAGCTGATACCTCGAAGCTGCTGATCCATGGACCACACCTAGAATAGCAAAGCTTTAGCAACTGATCTGGGTAAACCAGGTTGGACCTGAATGTCAGACTAATTGTCAAAGTAGGAAAAGCTAGGTCCTGTGACTGTATTGTGCACCCCAAACTTGCCAGTCTGCCCAGAGCTTATGCGTTGAAACTCCTCATGTTATAGAAGGTCTAGTGGGTACTTCAATGCGTTTTGGCCTCTCTGGGAAGGAGAGCTATCAGGGGAGAGCAGCTTGTCTCCCAAGGTCGAAGTCTAAATGAAGATTCCCTTATATTCGCCAGAAGTAGCCACTGGTACATGCAGGGATCATCTGTCTGAGGAGCCCTGGGGTTTTTGACCCAGTCTCCTGGGGGTGTCAAAGTGCAATGGATGCCACACGGCAAACATGGGGAAAGAGTATGGGCATTAGAGGCCTCAGGCCTCTGAGAGGCCTCAGTCTGAATCCGCCTTCTCATGTTGTCATTTTGGACTGTATTTAACCTGCCTGAGCCTGACTTTCTTATTCATATTATGGAGATAGTATGACCAACCATGCAGGATTGTGTTAAGGTTTGAAAGAGATAGTGTGGCCTAGCAGTGGCTCATGCCTGCAAACCCAGAGCTTTGGGAGGCTGAGGAGGGAGGATGGTTTGAGGCCAGGAGTTTGAGATCAGCCTGGGCAATAAGACAAGACCTCGTTTTTACAAAAAAATTTTAAAATTAGCTGGGTGTGGTGGCTTATGCCTGTAATCCCAGCTACTCAGGAGGTTGAGGTAGGAGGATTGCTTGAGCCCAGTAGTTCAAGGCTGCAGTGAGCTATGATTGGGCCACTGCACTCCAGCCTGGGTGCCAGAGTGAGATCCTGCTTTTAAAGAAATAAAATTAAATAAGGTAAAAGAGACAGGGCATAGAGTCAGTACTCCATAAGTGGTAGTTTTTACTGCTGATGGCAGGTCACTGTGCTAACTGGAGGGAGAAGGGTGACCAGGGAGAGGGAGTGGCCTGGACGAGATTTACTCTCATTTGTTTGCCCACAGTAGATGGTCAAGCCCACACTTGTTGATGTATGAACTGATTGGGCTGTGCCTTTGGCTCTTTGGTGCGGCACAGTGGGTATTACGCTTGTGAGTATCCCACAGGGAGGATCCCTGTGCTCTGGGGGTAAGTAGTGGTCAGCTTTTTATAAGATGCAGGCTGTCTTTGTCATTCCCAGAGACCTTATAAATTCTCAGAGAGAGGGAACACACTATCATGTACTACAGTAAGAATGTTCAAGCTGAACTGGCCCTAAGAGATAATTTTAATGTAACTCCCTCATTTATGTCTGAGAAAACTGAGCACAGAAAGATTAAACAACTTGCCTAAGGCTATAGAACCACTTAGTGGCAAAGTCTGTGCTAGATCCTGACCTACTTCCTAGTGGCTGTGTTTCTCTCCACTGTACAGTTCTGCTATCTACTTAATACATGTTGCTGTACTTTAGATGCAGATGTATTCAATGTACATTTTAATTTTAATATGACACGTGCATACTTTGCTGTACATTTGGGACTCTTGCCTAGTCTATTTGCATTTTATAGAACGTGGAGAGAAGTTTACTATTGCAATAGTTAATTGTTATATCTTTGTTCAAGATTTTTTGGTTGATCACATGTGTGCCTTCATTTAGTCCTAAATCGTGTGTAATGAGCACAGTTGGACCTGCACAGTGTTTTCCTCACATGGCATTGTTTGTATGCAGTGGTCAGTGGTCTGCAGTGAGTTGCTTGAGGTCACACATCCTTAGAGGAAAATAACCCCTATTTTATAGTCAGGGTTGCCAAACTCCAGGCTGGTGATAGTCTTGGTAAACTGTTCACTTTTCTCCATGGAATAACAAAATTGAGGGGAAAGTGGTGATAATTTTAAAAAAAGAAAGAAAAATGTGTTCAGTTTAAAGACCTGCCTTTTATTCTGACATTACAGCATTTTGACATTTTGTTGTTAGAAGGTCCTTTCCTTTATGAAATT